CGGCACGATTTCAAAAATTTCCTAATTCAGACATATTTTTTATTTTCCATAATATTAAACCTTACCTTATAATTTTGATCTATCTTATATTTTTTTCTAATTTATCTTATCTACCTTATAATTTTTTTAAATCATTCAAAAAAATTATAAAATTATTATTTTCTTCTTTTTCTCAATGTTTATTTTTCCACTCGTTCTTGTTTACTGTCGTTCAAGAAAAAGTGACAGCTAAAAATATTCCCTCGAGGGATCACACGGCTACCTACTGAAATTATCTATAATTCACATCGTGAGCATTCTGTTGTCTCTACGGAAAGAAAAAAAAATTAGATGGTCCGTGGTGTCAGCGGACAATTTCTCTGCGGAGGTCCTGATGCGAAGGTAGTGTCAGTGGTAACGGCACGAGTCGGGTCGGACAAGACAGGTCTCGCTCTAACGAAGCGAATTTCTGTCGCTTTATCGAGGATTTTGCTCAGTTCATTTGATTCGTTTGATTTCGTCGGTTGGCGCTCGCCCGAGCCGAAAGTGGAGCGCACGTGTAAACGACGCGACGTGAAGCTCAGAGAGGGTGTTTGAAGCGTCCCGACGTTCTTTGCGCATCACTCAAAGGGCCTCCCCATTCCCCGCGTTAGTATGCGGTATCGCACACGCTTCCCCGGATAGTTTCGGCAAGGCAAACAACAAAGGATGAACGTCAAAAGGAATGGCGAAAAGCGCTTTATTTCCGGTCACGGTTGTTGCGATTAATCCCTCGCTAATAAAGTCGAATTTGTATGGTCCGCTCTTGACGATCGATGAAGGGAAATCCCTTCGTCGAACAATTCCTTCTTTCAAGGCAAACGAAATAACGAACGTAAAGAGTTCAATTCCGAGTACCTTCCTCTACAAATTTTGCATATGTCCTTTGTTGCAATGACAAAAATAATTTTGTTAAAGAATGTTAAATATGAGAGAATATCAAGTTTCGCGATGTAACGGAGTCGCGTTGCTGCTATGCCAAGTTCTATTTATTTCACTTTGTAATTCAAATTTATTTGCAATCAGATTACTCGCATCTGCAAATGTACATTATGCAAATGTACATCATGTTGCTTTACGAAGAGCTTTCTAAACTTTATAAATAAACATCGCAGCGTAGATTAAAATCGCGTGATGTAATGATATAATTCGGTAATTTTAATTTTTATTCTTTCCACCTTGCCTTTATGCTCGACAAGTTTAATTCACGCAGGATTCATGTTAAATTTATCTTCGCTATTCACGAAATATATAATATCGGAAGATAAGAAACATAACAGGCAGTTAAGAGTTTGTAATCGTGCTTTAAAATCGAAACTTTCATGGAAGTTTTAGAATTAGGAAATTATTATCGGTTGATTAACGTGGAAACTCCGATCGGTTATATGAGTATGATAAATTTATGTTGGCGTAAACCGCGTACATGCACACTAGGATGGCATAGCCGCGATATCCTACAGGGGAGAATGAATTATTCTAAGGACGAACTTCCGCCGGTATTATGTGATAAATATAGAAATTATCCGTGCGAAACGCTCGACTGAGTGTCATCATCAGACCGCGTTGCATATCTAGGTTGAGAACGTTACTAGTTGCCGTTACAGCAGTTAGTTTAATCCCCTAATCTGCGCGCATTAATTATGATGCGTACACACGGCTGCGACATGTAAGAGCAATTTCGCATTCTAGCGTGGCAAATACGCGTTAATACTCTCGTTTCACGTACTTTACCACTAAGCGCGTAACAGCTTTCCATACACGCCATAATCTGCATAGCTGAAGTTTTTTGAAATTATCCGTCTGTATCAAAGAAAATTTTATGGAACTAGACACAACACAAATTCGACGAAATATACATTTCACAAACATTAACAAATTTTGATGATAAATTCTTTGACATGAATTTGGAATAAATTTTTTTTATTCTCTTTCTCTATTTTACACTGTGTAAAGTTGAGCGAGCTTTTAAATTTATTTTATTATTTGCGAATCGGAAATATGCATAGAAATTTGAAATCTCATGCAAAAATCATTAATATAAAATTTTTATTTGTGATAAAAAAATATGTGTTTATGTGTAAATAATCAATTAAATTTAGCTAGCAGCATTTTTATGGCAAAATAAATTCTTTTATTTATTTCTCTGTGTAATATTTTCAAAATATTTAGAATGCAAACTATATTTATGTATTCGTTGCAATAAAAGTGCCAAATATTGTTGTTCATTTCGTATTTTCACAGTTCCAGATTTGCTTGCACAATTTCGAGTAGTCACGCTTGTTCCTAATCAAAGTTTCGCACATAGCAGTATGCGAGAGACCGGAAACATCAACGGTTAACTATATACCTGTAGATATATATATTTACACATGGTTATTTTGTTAGGGGAAGTCAAATGTTGTGGTTGAACGATTCTAATTAAGTCCGATGACACAACGCGAAATTTATTTTAATTAGAACACAAAACCGCGTTAATAAATATTTTTAATAAAAAAAAAAGAAGTAAGGTTCATTTTAAATCATTTGCGTGTTGCCATGTGATTTATTAATTCATAAAAAAAAATTAAATAATAGCGTTGGATAACATTTTTTTCTAAAAAATTTGTTTAAAAATACGGCCGAAAAGCTGACTGTATAAAACATCAGGAAAGAGCTTCAATTTTGAACAATAAAATTTTATATTATAAATAAATAAGAATTATTACTAAATGAAGTTAGTGGCTGAGTTCGGTAAAAAGAACGCGGTAATAAAATCTCTTATTTTTTCACAAAGATTGTTTCGTCGGCTCGAATTGAAGTTGGCAGTTTGCATCATATCAAATATATTTCCGCTTTTTTTTTCGATGGAACCTATGCGCTTTTCAAACGCGTTTCTAATTTTCCTTCCCTTTGCGCCCGTGTCATCTATGTTCCATTTACGCTTTCGTGAATGCAACGTGGCCGCATGTCGCCCGGGATTCGGGCTGCGCGCGGCGCGAGAGACGCGACGTCTCTTAAAAAATTCACTGCATATCATCATATATCATCGGTGAATTGTCGCAAGGCGTAGGTGGATACGCATAAATATTCATCGGGTTTTCCCGGTCTGATTGCCGCGTAACACTGTCGATGCCTGCCGACTGCATGTTGCTGTGATTCCACGCGTCGTGCCTTATCGGGGGAACTTTAAATTTACGAGGTTTCAAGTCATTACAGAAGTTTTATTTTTCACGACGTTGGAGATATTTTATTATTATTATTTTTTCTTTATATATATATATCTAGCTAATCGGTACAGAAGTCAATTTCCAATTTACAGAGCAATTTGCCATTAAAATTGAAATGCAGGCTTCAAGGCGAAGTAAGAGAAGTTAATAAATTCCTACTTCTTATTAAAGTTAAAACATTAATAAAATCATTGACCAATGGCGATTATTCTCTTTTAAGGAATTATAAAAAAATTCACTTACCTTATTTTTGGAATAAACGGCTCGACTAATCAAATGGAGCTCGTCGCTCGACATCGTTTCGGAGATATTGAGCAGCTAAAGAAAATTAATTGGGCGCCATCGTTATTTTGCGAGGATGGTCTGCAAGTGAGAGACTTCATGAGCCGAAGCCAGGGATTCTTAAATATCTCCGACGGGAAAAGTTCGGGAGCGCATCGGGGTCATGGCTATCGATCTTCGCAGGCCATCTTTTCGCAGCCGTTGCCATTAATTCCGAATTACCAACCATCCCCGAGATAGACAAAGACTTATGTCGCCCATTTAATATAAATTTCCGTATTACAATTATACTCCCGAATTATAAAATATAAGATAAATTATAAGATAATCATAAATTATAAAACTATAAAATAATAAAGAAAAAAAACAGTCTTCTGCTTATCCGGGAATAATTCTCTTCCTTTTCTCTCTATTGAGATACGATGTTCCTTAATATTAATTAGCGGGGGGTAACCGCTACCTCCGAAGAGGGACGGCGCGAGAATGAATCGCAGAGCGTTGTGTGGGTAATTTATTTACAAGAGTAAAACATTATGTACAAGAATGCGTTTTCTCGCAGGAGAAACCGTGTGAAAACAAAACAGAAAAGGGTGTGAGCGGGTGGGAAAAACACAGTTTTTTTTTTCCTTCATTTCGGACTAGTCGTGGGTGTAA